TGTCTTATAATAAAATTAATTTCATTGTCTCTTAAGAAAAGATAAATTCATTAATTTATGTTACATCTAATCATTGGCTTATAATGAAATTAAATTCATTCTCTTATGAAATTAGATCAGTATCATAAAATTAATTTAATTAGCTTATGATGAAATTAAATTCATTAAAATATGACAAATTAAATATATTGGAATTTGATGATGCTAAATAAAGGTGATGAATCCAAAATAATTGTCCTTCGTAGAAACTAAATTGATTGGCAGATGATAAAATTAAATGAATCGTCAAATCATGAAACTGAATACATAAGCTTTTGATAACACTAAATTTATTTGTCTATCAAGAAATTTTTAATAATGAATAATTCGCAGGAAACTTTGCAATACTGATTTATGAAGAGAGAATCTATATGAAAAAATATCAGTGATTTTTATGATGGCTTAATCTGGCAGTTTGTATTCTGAAATCTTTTTCAATATTGACGGCTTGCCTACATTCAAGTTCTTATCTTCAGAAATCTTGGTTTATAGCCAGAGATCACAAGATTTCATTAAAAACAAATGAATACATCCCATGATCTATATCAGGAGTCGGCAACCTTTTGCTAACAATGTACTGACTTAGGGTTTTAAAATCCTTCAGTGTGCCAACAACAGAAGTATTTTTATACATGTGAAGATCAATATACCTGTTCTAAAATATCTTATATGTAAAGTACAGTGTATGTGCGTGTGTCCAAGCAACTCCTCCGCTCCCACTGGTCATATCATAAAAATGTCGTATAAAAGACATAAAACGGCATTTAAATGTCATAAAACTGTCATAAGAATGGTCTAAAATAGAGGTCAGCAACCTTTTGCTAATAATGCACTGACTTAAGGTTTTAAAATTCTTCAGTATGCCAATAACAGAAATATTTTTATACATGTTAAGATCAATATACCTGCTCTACAATATCTTATATATAAAGTACTGTGTATGTGCGTGTGTCCAAGCGACTCCTCTGCTCTCATTGGTCATATCATAACAATGTCGTATAAAAGACATAACACGGCATTAAAATATCATAAAAGTGTCATAAGAATGGCCTAAAAAAAGGGTCAGCAACCTTTTTCTGATAATGTACCGGCTTAGGGTTTTAAAATCCTTCAGTGTGCCAACAACAGAAATATTTTTATACATGTTAAGATCAACATACCTTTCCTACAATATCTTATATATAAAGTACAGTGTATGTGCGTGTCTCCAAGCAATGGACTAAGAGCAGAAGTATTTTTATACAAGTCAAGGTTAATATACTTATTCTACAATATATTTTTGATGCCTTGATGCCGATTTCTCTTCCTTTTCTCTACCCTTTCTTCAAACAAATCTCTCTACTTTTGCTCTCACTCTCTATATCCTCTTGCGGGCTACTGGCATTCGCGCCTTGCTTGTGGCGAAATGTTTAAAAAGAAAAATATATCGTAATATATACAATAATATGTAAACCACATTAATAGAAATGAACTGTTTTTAATAGTTTTTTTTATTATTATTAATGAGAGTCCAACACGTTAGTAGTTTTGAAGCAGTTAAATATCTCCTTTCCGTTATAATAGTTATTGGTTCAGACTTCATGAAATCATTTGCCGCTGCTGCCACTGAAAATTGCTTGGCGAGCCAAGTGCGGCACTCGTGCCATAGGTTGCCGACCCATAATCCATATCTGAGTGTTCATATGTTAACTTTTTATGTTGTATTTTCTCAGGTCAAAAATTCAGAGAAAATCTGATATTGCCATTCAGTAGCTTTCATCATTTTTTTTAAATAAATCATTGAATTGGACTGTACAATTTGGTTTGGTTTGTTTTACGGCATATCAAAACCTCAATGGGTCGTTTAATGCTGACACCATTTTTTTTCCTGTTATTATTTTTGTTTCATCAAAAATCTATTTCTGGTAATATTTTTTTCCTAAAAAATGGATAGCTGGCAATATTATTTTAAAAATTGTATTTCTGGTAATATATATATATATATATATATATATATATATATATATATATATATATATATTTCAAAAACGTATTGCTGGTAATAGTTTTTTTCTTTAAAAATTTATTTCTAGTAATAATTTTTTTACAAAGTATTTCTGGTATTAAAACCTATTTTTACACTTTCATAATGCTTTTTACCTCAGTTTCGGGGTTAACTATTTGCCCATAGCTGGGACCCTAACATGTGCTACCACCCCGGATCAGGGTGTATCTGGGAACACCAGCAATTAAGAGGTGGTTCCACGCTCCTCAAAACCTCCTGATCAGAGGTCTTGCTATTGGACGTAGTTTATCGTCTTACCCAGGCCGCGGATGTAGTTTATCGTCATACCCAGGACGGGGACTGTACAGAAAAATGGATTTATTAAACCTTTCAAGTATTACGGCCACCTGGACCCAGAGTACACGACTGTGAATTTTTAATTTGTATCACCTCATATAAGGCAGTAAAACCACTAGGCTAGGACACAAGGGTTTACAGGGTGTGGTAGAATTAGGAGCAGAGAAATTACTAATGAGCGGGAAGAGAAGAGAGTAATCAAGAGGACAGTAATATTTTTGCACATTAAATTTGTCTGGAAAGCATGGAGCTGGAAGGAAGTTCCACGAGCCTGAAATGTGGGAAAAGAAGCCTTTAGCATAGAATTTACGGTTACTTATAGCCAGCTCAAATGTAAATTGATGAAATTTTCGGCGCCAGTCTAGTACTTCATACAGTCTACTCCGAAAGTATTTATAGAAAAGAAACAGAGAGGCAACTTCACATCGGTGTGAAAGTAACTGAAGCCGAGTCACCAGACCAGGATCAATAATATTGCATATTCTTCTTTAGTTCTTATCAAAAAGCTCAAGAGAAATATCAGGTACACCGGACCATATGTGTCAGTAATATTTTAATCATGGACGTATCAAAGCATATTGTCTTATAGATATGTAAGATAAGCTCTGGAGAGAAAAAATATCTCGCACGACACTGTGAACCGATTTTTTAGCAGCTGACCTAACAATTTATCCATTGTAGTCTTTCCATTTTATGTCAGCTGAGAACTTTAGCCCAAAATGAACTTTACGGTTTAATTAACTGGATTTTTCTAAAAATATGTTTTACTATCTAATTTTAAAGAAAATGAAAATATGGTTTCATTTAAGGACGATAGTCTGTGAGGTTCACGGACAACGTATAGAGAGTCATTCCACCTTTGTACGAAAAAGCGCGAGAATAAGTAAAAATAAAACCTAAAATAGTATGAAAGATCAGAAGAGCGATAATCAAAAATATGTTACCTATGTTTAAATTTTCTTTAACCTTATACGAACAATACTTTAAGAATATAATTGTTATTCTATACACTTTCATCACAAAACTATATTCATTGGCCTATTATATCCATTCGCCTATGAGGAATAGAAATCATTGGCTTATAATAAAAGTAAATTCATTGGCCTATGATAAAATTATATCTATTGGACTATAGGGAACTGAAATCATTGGCTTATAATAAAATTAAATTCATTGGCCTATGATGAAATTATATCCATTGGACTATGAGGAAGCCACTGATAATGCATTTATATTTTTGCACATTAAATTTGTCTGGAAAGCATGGAGCTGGAAGGAAGTTCCACGAGCCTGAAATGTAGGAAAAGAAGACTTTAGCATAGAATTTACGGTTACTTATAGCCAGCTCAAATGTAAATTGATGAAATTTTCGGCCCCAATCTAGTACTGTGCTTAAATTCATACAGTCTACTCCGAAGGTATTTATAGAAAAGGAACAGAGAGGCAACTTCACATCGGTGTGAAAGTAACGGAAGCCGAGTCAACAGATCAGGACCAATAATATTGCATATTCTTCTTTAGTTCTTATCCAGAAGTTCAAGGGTTAATAGCAGATACACCGGGCCATAAATATCAGTAATATTTTAATCATGGACGTATCAAGGCACATTGGACTTATAGATATTTTAAGACATTTTTGTTCATTTCAAAATGTTTGACGTCATTGTTTACATTTGGATACGCTTTGAGCAGATATGAATGTACGTGAGAGATTAATGGAAGATTGAAGTTTAAAGACAGTAAAATCGACCTTGCTGACCGAACGCTCCACTGTAGCCAAATTGGTTAAGGCACGTCAAGCTAAATGATGTTTCCGTATAGGATACGGTTTAGAATCCTGTCGGAGGACGAATATTTTCTGCGAAAATGTCTCTGACATTCAGGCCGGTAAATGTTGTTTAATACTATTTATTATAAACAGAGCATTTACTTAAATATTTTATCTATAAAAAGAATGTATAAACATAAAAAATGTCTTAAAATAATTGTCGGACTTTATCCATTTCATAACTTATAGATAAGTAAGATAAGTTCTGGAGAGAAAAAAATATCTCGACACGACACTGTGAACCGATTTTTTTAGCTGCTGATCTAGCAATTTATCCAATATAGTCTTTCCACTTTATGTCAATGAGAACTTTAGCCGAATATGACGCAACGAGTCATTTCCCTGGAGGTTAGTATCAGCCATGCTGAGGGAAGGCAGAGAAATTTAAACTCAGTTCGTAAATACCATTAATCTTGCTGCTCACCGCTCGGTCGGAACTTCTGATTTTGATGTCATAATGTCGATGTCTTCATTAATTCCTTCTTTGGAAGCTACTTAAAGTTTCTTTTGCCATGTTGGTCGCTGGGCCTAATGCAATCGCCGGTTGAGATTCCAAAGAAAACAAAAGCGCTAACAAAATAATCGCGACGGTGAATTGGACATAAAATCAGTTCATTTTTTTTTGTCTCTCTATTTCTTATGCATTATATTCCTCCAATTTGTTTGAAATGACCAATCTGCCTCGAATTAAATTTAGTTTTTATATCAATTTCCATTCGAGTCGAGTTCAATCAGTACAAAAAGATAGGCAGACTGGTGGTAAAAGAAATTAAAAAAACACGAGGAAGTATGTTAGATCGATAGACAGCTACATCGATAGATTTCAAGAAACAGTGATAGATATTTAGATAGATAGATAGATAGATAGATAGATTTGAAGAAACAGTGATAGATAGATTTGAACAGTGATACATAAGAAAAGACTAAAATACATACATGCATAGATAGATAGATTTGAACTGAAATAGAGAGATTTGAATAAATAGTGATAGATAGATAGATTTGAACTGTAATAGATAGATTTGAATAAATAGTGATAGATAGATAGATTTGAACTGTAATAGATAAGAAAATATTAAAATAGATAGATAGATAGATAGATAGATAGATAGATAGATAGATTTGAAGAAATAGTGATAGATCGATAGATAGGAAGTCTATTATATAGATAGATTGATAGATTTTAAGAAAAACTGCTAGATAGATAGATAGGAAGTACATTATATAGATAGATTGATAGATTTGAAGAAAAACTGCTAGATAGATAGATAGATAGATAGATAGATAGATAGATAGATAGGAAGTACATTATATAGATAGATTGATAGATTTGAAGAAAAACTGCTAGATAGATAGATAGATAGATAGATAGATAGATAGATAGGAAGTACATTATATAGATAGATTGATAGATTTGAAGAAAAACTGCTAGATAGATAGATAGATAGATATGAAGTACATTATATAGATAGATTGATAAATTTGAAGAAAAACTGCTAGATAGATAGATAGATAGATAGATAGATAGATAGATAGATAGGAAGTATATTATATAGATAGATTGATAGATTTGAAGAAAAACTGCTAGATAGATAGATAGATAGATAGATAGATAGATAGATAGATAGATAGGAAGTATATTATATAGATAGATTGATAGATTTGAAGAAAAACTGCTAGATAGATAGATAGATAGATAGATAGATAGGAAGTATATTATATAGATAGATTGATAGATTTGAAGAAAAACTGCTAGATAGATAGATAGATAGATAGATAGATAGATAGAAAGATAGGAAGTACATTATATAGATAGATTGATAGATTTGAAGAAAAACTGCTAGATAGATAGATAGATAGATAGGAAGTATATTATATAGATAGATTGATAGATTTGAAGAAAAACTGCTAGATAGATAGATAGATAGATAGATAGATAGGAAGTATATTATATAGATAGATTGATAGATTTGAAGAAAAACTGCTAGATAGATAGATAGATAGATAGATAGATAGATAGATAGATAGATAGGAAGTACATTATATAGATAGATTGATAGATTTAAGAAAAACTGCTAGATAGATAGATAGATAGTTAGATATGGGCATTGGGATGAAAACTGTCTACCTCTGCCGATTAAATCTGTTCGGTATTCTTGTAGCTTACCTGCATCGCCGTACACCTGATGAAGGCCGAAACATCATGATAAGAACAACAAATTTGGAGACAATAGTACGCCATGTAAATAGTGTAAATATTTACTCGCCTTTATTTGATATTTAGCATTCATCAAACTGCCTTTCATTATTGTTTAATTTTTTCGCGATTTCGACTTTAGTCACTTTTATTGTTTTTTTAAGGCTCTTTTATGATTAAATATTGTTTTGCCATTTTCATTTGCTTTGACTATGGGATACATGGCTTTCTTGGATACACTGAGTCTTCTTTTGAAATCTTTTTTTGGTAAGATGGAAAATAGCCAGCTCTACAGATTAGGAAAGAGTTTCGTTGTATAAAAACGTGTGCGACGTTTTATTTTTGACTTTTTTTACTAAAAAAGAATTGATCCAAGAACAATTAATCTTTTGACGCCATCATCATTTTTAATAGTTATGGTAATATTAGCCGTTTCCTTTCAAATAAATCCATAGCCTTCATTGACCGGGAAGACGGTAATACTTCCGGTTGAAATTTATATATTTATTTCTCTTAGAACAATTTTTGCGCAAAACAGGTATCTCAATTCCAGTAGCTTTTATCGCTCTTCAGGGAATTTCCTGAAAATTCCTGCAAAAGAAATAATTTTTCATACAACGTAAGTGATATTAAATATGCTGTCCATACTTCTTGGGCTTGAAAGATTTTAAGAAAAAAAATTGGCTGAAGCAGCCCCAGTTTTATAGGTCATAAGAAAAGAAAATAGTTGTAATGATTCAGCAATGGTTGACAAAAACCTGTCCACAACATAAACAATAAAAGATAAACATTGTAGGTGGAAAACTAGTAAAAGGAAAAAGTGTTATGGGGTCCTCCTCTTTTTCATACACGTGGACTCGACCAGTATGTACTTGGACTGCTGCCATTAAATACTCAGAGTCAGTTAGACAGTCAGTGAGAGTACAGAGATTGAGATAAAGATTGTGATTGAGTTGGAGGTAGATTAATAGTGTGAGGTAACCGCTTGTAGAAGTCACAGTTACAAGCACGTAGACTCTAAGGAAGTCCTACTTCGAGACTACTATATATATATATATATATATATATATATATATATATATATATATAATATAAAAAGTGAACATAGAAGTCAACACTTAGAGCCTCTAAGTGTTGACTTCTATGTTCACTTTATATTTACACACGCTCTATCTCTGATATTGAGCACTTTATCCCATAAATATAGCACACCTTAAGACTATATTTCTTTTTATATATATATATATATATATATATATATATATATATATATATTATTTGCGACTAACCGCGTTCCTGGATTTAGTAACAGTATTACCCTTTGTATTATTGTGTAAACACATTTAATTTCTTATATTTAATTCCTGCGTTTGTCATTCATTGGAGACCGAATTTCATCTCGGAATCCACAACAAAAAGTATGGCTAATTGAAGTAGTTTTGGGTAATATTAGCCGTTTCCCTATAAGGAAATATTTGCCATTCACCGATCGAGTACCCACCTCTGTTTTTGGTTGAAATTCATAAAACCTTTCCGGTAAAACAATTTTTCAGTAAAACAGGTTGCTCAAGTCCAGTAGCTGTTTTAACTCTTTCCAGTATTGTTATATACCGTACGTATGAACACTAATGGGTATGTCTCAATCCTCATAAATACGATGGACACTATTGTAAGCTGGAGCAATATGCTGTCTAAGTAGACCACCACTAGCAGTGGTTTATCTACTCCACGCCGCTGGCGAGTATCGTATTTTGTTGATGGTTTAAAGATTACCATTTCATTTCCAACATCCGTTTTGGTTATTCCCCATTCAGTAACCCTTTCTATGTTATAACATATGATTACTAAAGGAATTAATATATATATATATATATATATATATATATATAGAGAGAGAGAGAGAGAGAGAAGAGAGAATATGTATATACCTTACCTATGAACAACAATGTCCCAATCCTCATAAATACGTTGGACACTATTGTAAATTGGAGCAATATGCTATCTAACTAGTTAATCACTAGAAGTGGTTTACCTACTTCATGCCGCTGGCGAGTATTGTATTTTGTTGATGTTATAAAGATTACTATTTCGTTTCCAACCCCCATTTTGGTTATTCTTCATTCACTAAAATTTTCTAGGTTACAAGTATCGATAGGGGTTTCCTTCCTAACCTTTTGTTTGGAGTCGTGCGGAAGGTCAACACCTTGATTATGTCCTTATTTTCTCTTTTAGCAACATTTGCTCTCCATTTTACTTGTTGCTGCTCTTACTAGTCCGCAAGTGATGATGTTATTGTTATTTGCTGCAGTTGATTATTGAGTGATTCTGTAGCGCCAATCTACAATGTTTAAAAAAGACAGAGAACTTTAATTTTACCGTCTGCAAGACCAGCCCCCAAAAAACACCTCATGTCCTCTCGTGGCATCTGTTTCGTAATGAAGACAATGAAATGTTTTGTCTTTAATATATCTTGACGTATTCGACTTATTGTTCTCATCTTCGATTGATATTAATGTAGACACGACATTTCGGCCAACTAACCGCTGGCCTTCTTCAGATGTCCATTGTTTCTGACGATATGTAATAACATGTGTGATTAACGTGTTAATATTGTGTCTATTATACCAGTCCGTGATAAATAATCAACACATGAGAAACAGACAGATAGATATGAACGTACCGAGATAGATAGATTTGAAGTAACAGTGATAGATAGATAGATAGATAGATAGATAGATAGATAGATAGATATGGATATGATCAGAGATAGATAGATAGATAGATAGATAGATAGATAGATATGAAGTGACTGAGATAGATAGATAGATAGATAGATAGATAGATATGAAGTGACTGAGATAGATAGATAGATAGATAGATAGATAGATAGATAGATAGACAGAGATACGAACAATACCTGATTGATAAATAGATAGAATTGAACTGTGATAGATAGAGAGAGAGAGAGATAGAGAGAGATAGATAAAGAGAGATAGATAGATTTGAAGTAACAGTGATAGATAGATAGATAGATAGATAGATAGATAGATAGATAGACAGAGATACGAACAATACCTGATTGATAGATAGATAGAATTGAACTGTGATAGATAGAGAGAGAGAGAGAGAGATAGAGAGAGATAGATAAAGAGAGATAGATAGATTTGAAGTAACAGTGATAGATAGATAGATAGATAGATAGATAGATAGATAGATAGATAGATAGACAGAGATACGAACAATACCTGATTGATAGATAGATAGAATTGAACTGTGATAGATAGAGAGAGAGAGAGATAGAGAGAGATAGATAAAGAGAGATAGATAGATTTGAACAGTGATAGATAGATAGATTGATATATTTGTTTTTATTTTAAGAAAAAACAGTGCTCCATACAGAATTAGAGCTTAAAGTAATATGTTTTTCTTCAAAGATCTATTTCGGGGAATATTTTTACTTGAACAAATCTTAGCTGGTCATATTTTTTTCAAAGAATGGATAGTTGTTTGTATTCCTTCAAAATTTATTGCTGGCAATATTTATTTTTTTATTACAAAGTATTTCTGGTATTAAAACCTATTTTTACACAAGTTTAGGTGTCAACTATTTGCCCATAGCTGGGACTCTAACAGGTGCTATATATATATATATATATATATATATATATATATATATATAATATATTGTGTGTGTATTTTGGCAGCATTTTTCATTGATGCAAGTTTCATTAAATAATATAGACAAGTCTTGTCTATTTATTTTATGTCAATTCCTTTCATATCGTCTGATAAGATTAATAACATTATCATTAAACGAAGAAAGAAAATCACAATATTGATAAATATTTTTTAATCCTATCTAAGCTTTCGGCTTACATAAGCCATTATCAAAGATGACAATTACATTACAATATATTAAGCAATACACGGACAAGAATGTGATGATAGTCTGTTTCTGTTTACATGGAATATTTCAAAGCAATGACAAACTCGTGCATATAAAACAATTTTCTTATTCGTTTGGTTTGTCACGAGGGACCCTTTTCTTTCCATTTCCATTTCAATTGAATATATATATATATATATATATATATATATATATATATATATATATATATGCAAGCTTCATTAAATATGACAGACAAGGTGTTGGATTAAGTTTTTAAATTAATTTCTGATATAATCTTATAATTTATTTCTTTTCAGTAGATAAATGATAAAAAACTGTCCAAATGATTTACTTTTACAAGCGCTTTCGGCTATACATTTAGCCATTTATAACATAAATGAAGAGACAAAAGCGCTTGGAAAAATAAAATGTTTGGATAGTTTTGTATAATCTATCTACTGAAAATAAACAAATTATATCATATGAAAAATTATATAACAAACCTAAGCAAAGCCTCGTGTCTGTCATATTTAATAAACTTTATATATATATATATATATATATATATATATATATATATATATATATATATATATATATTATTCAACGCGAAATGGAAGGCTCATAAAATATTGCAAAATAGAAAAGAGGTCCATCCTGACAAACCAAACGAATAAAAAAATAATAATAAAAAATATATTATTCTACCCACTAACACTATCAAAACTACAATCGAAAAGAATTTATCTAAACTCAACATAAAATTTGTCACAACTACAGCAAAACAATAGGAGACTCAATCAATACAAAACAAAGCAACAGGCCAAAAATTAAAGAAAGAAGTTCCTCTATCAGGATTGTCAGAAAGAATATATTAGAGAAGCAGTCAAGAAGTTTAAATAAAAGATTATGTGAAAACAAAAGAGGCATTTTAAAAGGACATACACAAAAAGCAATGGTTATGCAACGTAAGGAAACTTTAACATAAAAATGCAACTCTAACAGAAAGAGTAAATAATAGACAAAACATCTAGAAATTGCTTTAATCAATAGATCATAGGAAATAAAAGAAAAAAATACTTAGAAATCGCTTTAATCCAGAGATCATAGAAACTAATAAAAGAAAATGTCTAGAAATTGCTTTAAACCCTAGATCTGAGGAAATAATAGGAGAAATAACTAGAAATTGCTTTACTCCCAAGATCATGGGAAATAATGGACGAAGATATCTAGATATTGCTTTAATCCGTAGATCATAGGAAATAATATACGAGGATATCTATTAATTGCTTTAATCCGTAGATCATAGGAAATAATAGACGAAAATACCTATAAACTGCTTTTATCCATAGATCTTAGGAAAAAATAGATGAAAATACCTAGAATTTGCTTTAATCCCTAGATCATAGGAAATAATAGGTGAAAATATCTAGAAATTGCTTTAAACAGTAGATAATAGGAAAAAAAGGCGAAAATATCAAGAATTTCTTTTAATCCCCAGATCATAGGAAATAATAAACAGAAATATCTAGAAATTGCATTAATCCCTAGATCATAGTAAATAATAGCCGAAAATATCTAGAAATTGCTTTAATCCATAGCTCATAGGGACTAATAAACGAAAATATCTAGAAATTGCTTTACACCCCAGATCTTAGGAAATAAAAGACGAAAATATCTAGAAATTACTTTAATCCCTAGATAAAAGGAAATAATAGACGAAAATACCTAGAATTTGCTTTAATCCCTAGAGCATATGAAATAATAGACGAAAATATCTAGAAATTACTTTAATTCCCTGATCATAAAAATAATAGACGAAAAAATCTAGAAATTGCTGGAATCCATAGATCATAGGAAATAATACACGAAAATATCTAAAAATTGCTTTAATCCCTAGATCATAGGAGATAATAGATCATAGGAATTAATAGAAAAAATATCTAGTAATTGCTTTAATCACTGCATCATAGTAAATAATAGACGAAAATACCTAGAAATTGCTTTAATCCATAGATCATTGGAAATAGTAGACGAGAATATCTAGAATTTGCTTTAATTCCTAGATCATCGAAAATAATAGAAGAAAATATCTAGAAATTGCTTTACACCCTTAATCTTAGGAAATAAAAGACGAAAATATCTAGAAATTACTTTAATCCCTAGATAAAAGGAAATAATAGACGAAAATACCTAGAATTTGCTT